AAATGGCGTCCAACTGTACTTCAATTTTAATTAAGTCCAAGATATCCCCATAACGACGAGCAAAGGTTTTCATGGCCCTTTCAGACAATCTTTCCTTTACAACTTTGATTTGAGTTACATCTGGCTTGGTAGCATTGATACAAACGAGCTAATTTCCTTTGGCATTCATTTTCAGATACTTACACAAAAACCTTTACTCTTTTTTTATACCCTGTGAATAAGATAAGCAAACAATGTATGATGAACATGTGAAATGTAGAGACGCGTGAACATATGAATAAAATGTTTAAATGACGGGATTTAGTGAACAATAACCCTTAGAAGGTGGGCTCTAGTTTGGTTTTATGGATATTCTACCCTCCCCATACGGTGATTTTCTTAAGGGTATCATGAATAATGCTAGAGGGAAGGGCGCAAGGGCCTCCCTTAAGTGGAGTCTCTTTGCAGACCAAAACTTTCATCTCTAGGTCGTGAAATATCTCATCATGAGATTTTAGTTTAGGGTCATACAAAGAGCCATATGCGTCATTCCAAAGTCCTTCTTCCCAAGAGGATGTCTCTTGAGACATATTTCTTTTGCGGAATTCCACTGACTCTAGGAGAAGTCGTCACATAAACTCATAGGGATGATATATCTCATTGGCTAATAGATAAACCTTCTTTCTAAGGTTTATTTAAAAATATTTTGCAAAAAAATTAAAATCCCGCTACAGACATATAAATATAGTGAATAATAATAAAAAGAAGAAAAGTAAATAAATAAAATAGATAAACAACAATTAAACAAATACAAAAACTCAAAAATAAGAAAACCCTAAAACCCTAAAAACTAATGGACAAGGCCTCTAAACCTAGGGTTGAGTCCCCAGCAGAGTCGCCAGCTGTTGCAATTGGTTTTTTAATAGAGTCGTCACCCTTAATTTTTATCCTAAAGGAAGGGAGTATAAAGGAATAACCCTAAGAGAAATTTAGAGATTCTAGGTTTGGACTCGGTTATAGACGAGGGGAAGGTGTTAGGCACCCCTCCTCTACCTTGTTCGCAAGGATACTAGGTTCAGAAGTGCTTTGTTTAGGAAATATGGTTTTTATTATTAAAGGGGAGAAAGGGTTTGAATTTTAGTTAGCGGGGACTCGCCATGATTTTTGATCGTATGCCTACGTATCTCTTAGGAGGAATCAGAGTCTCAATTTTATAGCTCGCGGGGTTGGTTGGTGTTTTTTATAGATTACGCATATATTTTAATTTTCCCGCACTTAGTTCGAATGTGTAGATAGTGGAGATTTTAAACTAAGCGCGAAGTTAGTTAAAAATTCCTTTTATTCATTTTTGAAAGTTAATTTTTTTAATTTATTACAAAAATAGTTTGACGTTTGTTTGTGTATTTTTTAGACGTATAAAGCTGAAGAGTCTGATATAGCCCTCTTATCACGTGGCCAGATATTGGCCATGTGTCGCTTACGGATATTATAATTTTGATGAATCGCAGGTTTTAATATTTTGATGTAAAATATTAAATCAAATTATACGGTGAGAATTGCTTCTAGGTATATAATTTTAAAGATGCGTTTTAACGTAGATGGATATTTTTTTTTAACTAAGCCTAAATTAATTAATCAATTATAATAATAAATATACATGATTATAATTAAAATATAAATGTAAATATATAATTTTATAATTATTAAAATATAAATATAGATATATCAAAAATCAGAAAAAATAGATAACTATATAAAATAGAATTATAAAAAAATAAATAATTGAATTTGCAGGATGGGTATGATTTTAGTTGTGAAGTAATATTTAGACGGTGTTAATAGAAGGGCCTGAATTCAAATTATGAATTCAGGCCCAAGAGGCCGGGGGGAGGGGGGTGTGCGTTCTATACTTAGTAGTGAAATAGGGGTACACTTAGTTAGTAGCCCAGGCCTAATCATCGCATTTTATTTTTTTCTCTTTTACAACACCAAACTAAACCTAATATCTCAAAAAATTTCCCAACCCTCCTTCTTCTCTCCCTCACGCTCTCAGTAAATCCTAGCAATATTGCAACTCTTTGCGGTGGTGCTCAATCGCTTCTCCCCCTTTCCGTTATCACAATGAGCCTTTCCCAAACTCTAAAAAAGAAAGAAAAATTCCAACACCAATCGCAAGGATCAAAAGAGCTAAGTGCTTACCTCTGAGCTTTTGAATCTGTTTTCGAATCTGGTGTTTGCTTTTGATTATGTTTGTTCTGACCCCGTCTCTCTTAGCTTGCAGGTACCGATGATGATGATGATGACGGGAGATTAGAGCGGCGGAGGACGAGGAAATTAGGGTTTCAGACGTTGAAACTCTAATTTTCCTCTTCTGCGAAGATTTTACTCTATGTAATTCCTCTCTTCTATTGTCTAACATCCGTAATTCCCCTTAATTTATAGTGTTTTTAGGAATTAGGCTTTTTTAGGAAAGCTTTTAATTTGTCTGCAATTATGTGTTCTGAATTCAAAATGTTTCCTCCTTTGCGTTGATTTGCTTTAAGTTTGTTTATGCAATTAGTTGATTATGTTTTGATTATGTTCCTGTACGTTGATTCTTGTTTAATGAGTACTGATTCAGCTATAAATGCATGATTCTGTGCTTTTGATTCATTGAACATTTCCCTGTTTTGAATTGTAACACATTTTCAAATTATGAATTAAATTCTCTCTGTTTTGGGTTTGATACCTCATTGTCTTGGTTTTAAAACTTTTCCTCCAATTCTGATATTGACTGCAAACTGTCTTTTGCGTACTTTAGCTGATCCCTTTGAACTTTCTTGTTTTTTGGTGACAAAACAGGGCACTGAATTGATTGAAACCGATTCAATTGGTATAGTAGTTTTATGCAGGTTACTGCTGACTACTTGATTGGATTTTTATTCTGTCAGTGGAGTGATATGAGGATGCTGGTTGGATATTTTGAAAAGATCTGATATGCAAGTGCTTACTTGATGCAGGTCTATGCAGAGCTACTAGGTAAATCAATGGCATGAGGTACGGTTCAAGCAGGCTGCTTCATGGTTATCGTTGTTGTTTTTGATTTATCCATTCTGTTTTGTTTTAATACTAATGCATGACTTTTCTGGTAGGTGTGACGACATGACTAGTAGTTAGCCATGGGGGAGGCTTTAAACTTTAAAGGAGCAAAAGCATAAAGATAGATTAAAGATTGGAAATTTGGCCCTGGGGAGGTTGAAGTTGTCTTGCCACTGTTAGGAAAAAGAGATATCCTACTGATTAGGTTTTAGGATAAATAGTTTTATCTAAAGCTCTCATCCTGTAAACCCTTATATACATGGTATTGTAATGATGTAATTCAATACTGGTTTTGAATTTGAAACATTCTCTCTTCTTATTTTTACTGTAAGTGAACAAGAAAGTAGTTACACCTTGTATTAATTCAAGAGTAAAAATACCAGAATCAACAAGTACTTCAAAAATTCTCCTTTACATTAGAAAACTCCTCCTTCTGCCTTTGGATAATCATATATTGATAGCCTTTATGCTGGACTTGTATAGGTTTGAATGAATTTAATGAATGGCAAGAATGCTAGAAGTTTGTGCTCATACTTGAAAAGATGTTACTTTGAGAAAAATTCTTATGTCTTTGATGGGATAATATTTGATCATTTCAAGAACCTTAAAAAAGATACAAACCCCAAATTTTGTCTGCATTTCCTTTTTGAAGAGAATTTAACCCTAAGTCCATATTAACTTGTCTTTTAAGTAATCAATACATTAGTCAATGAAGGGAACAAAAAATAATAGGACCATGATGAACCCATCACCTCTTGCACTATGTCTTAATTCATAATTTTAAATTGAAAGTCAATATTAAAACCCTAATAACATTGCCCTTGCTAACAGATGAAAACCTTATAACCTACTGAAAATAAAAACTCTAAAATGAATCATGACAAAGAATCCTAGTAACACAAACCAATGCCCAAAAACAGACAGGTGAACTAGGCTCATCTGATAAAAGGAGCCTTCAAACCATGCGGAACCCTAAATTTCTTGATCCCAAACCTATTTTAGTTGGCTAAAGATTGTTTGAGTTGGCGAGACAAATTTGGGGTATGACAACTGGATTTTCGCTTTGAAGGTGGTTGAGAGAGAGAGAGAGAGAGAGAGAGAGAGAGATATTATACTATTTTTGAATTGATGATAATATAATATTGTTGACCTTTAAGTTTTTATCATTCAATATCATAATATCATTTTATTGATTTTGATAATAAATGATTTTAAAGCTAATAATTTTTGTGAGAGAACGAACTTAGTCAATGTTTTGATTTTAATGCTAATAATTTTTATAAATAAAACAATTATTTTTCTCATTTTAACATTCCTTAGCTTAATTGTTCTGATTTTTGAGTATTAGTTATGTGTAAACCAAGTTTAGTTTTTATGTATCTTTTATAGAATAATTTCAAATTTTGAATTCAATTATTAAAATTTAAAGTCTTACTTCTATATGTAGTCAACTCATTAAAAAACAATCGTTATATATATGAGAAAATTCCAAATATTTTTACAAACAACTTTAATTTTATATATGGGAAAATGTTTGACTGTTAACTAAAATATTTTTATAAATAGTGTCAAAATAAGAATTTTTTATAGTATGTCACCTCCTAAATTTGTCCACACTTCATATGTTTTTAAATGTCTTTTTATCTATTATAAATATATAAAATGCAACGTATTTGGAAAAAACAAGTCTACCTTTATGAAAAATGTCCGAACATTTCTGATTCGAGACTTAAAAGTGATTTATTGAAACCTTGTTTCACCATAGTTGATTTGGCAATTAATAAAGTTGATGTGTTACTCCCTCATTTTTTTTCAAACATTTTTATTTATTTTTTATGTTAACTAAAATCTAATTAATCCCTTTAACTTCTACTGGACGTGGGAACACAACCACGATAAATGTATTTGTTGGACAATGGAAAGTCACACCCATGTAACTTCCCATGTTGCTATTCCATGACCACTTGTCCTCCTTATTTCAATCAAACACTACAAATTTCCTCTCTTTCTTCAATCAACACAACCCTCCACCTTCACCTCTACCTCAACAACGCTCTGCAATCTCCCTCCCTCTCTTCTTCGCGCTACTGCTATCTATTGTGATGTTCAAATTCACTGTCGAGCCAACTTTCCCTTCTGCCAAATTCGCTCTATGTTGCTACTTCATCGCAAATACTTCAATTCAACAACACAACTGTTCACGACTCTGAATTTCATCCACTTTGCTGAAGGTAACTCCACCGAGAGTTTCAATTTTTCACAGTTAGGGTTTTTGATTTTGTAAATCCAATTTTTGTTTGATTATTTCAAAATCAATTGATTTGTTTATTATGAATTAAAACTGTTTTGTTTTTTTTTGTTCGATTTTAGATAACTGGAGAGTAAAGGAAATCTGCAGAAAGTTTAATTTTTTTTTTGTTTATTTTGGAAATTCATGTTTTTGTGTTGTTGCTTTTGTAATAATGTTTCTTTCACTCATGTTATTAAATATGCATTACCTGTTTTCTATGCCATATTCTCTTCTGTTCTTAGTGATAGGTCTCTTCTACCAGAAATCAACTATTTACTATTTAATTTACCTGATTTAAATAGAAATTTTAGCTGAAGGCAACAATTTAAGAATTCATTTCTGATTTTCCTTTTGATTTTTCTAACTTCTGATTTCAGTAGCAATTTTAGCTGAAGGCAACAATTTAAGAATTTATGATTCACCATGTCTATGATGCATTCAATGTGGTACGATGCCGAAAACATATTGGAGTTAATATCATGACTTTGGTTAGTGTCCAATAAAGTTTATGCACTTAATTGTTTTCACATGTTAACTTTGAATATATTTGAAGTGGAACTTGATTTATTATTGAATCCAATCTACATAGCAAGTGTTTCTTGGTGCCTATCAATTTTGTTAGTTTTGAATATGGACTTGAAACGATTGAATATCTTTAGTGTTTTTTTTTATGTTACTGTTGTGTGATTGATTACCCAAACTTAAAAAATTGGAACTTTGAAATCTGGACAACTTACTTAAATGCATTTTTGTTTTTGTTTTTCTCATGTACAAGGAGAACACACTCACAAATTAATCAAATGTTTGGGAATTTTGGAAATTGTCATAAAAATTATACTAAGCTTGAAATTATTGCTTTTGAGGATTATTATTGTAGATTTGAGTATATGGCTGTTACTGGTGCTTTCGCTCTGGATAGAGACGTCGTAAGCTTTCTTTTGTTTTTTATAACCACTTCTTCTGTTTCTGTAATATAACTACAACAACACGGGTTTTAAATTATGTTTATTTGATTTATTTTTGTAAGATACTTTGCAGTTCTTATTGTTGGAGCACAAGGAAGATAAAAGGCAAAAGGAATATTTACTGATAGCTTCAAAATAAGGATTTATAATGAATTACAATAACCTACTCCACTAGGCTATTTATACACACAAATTAAATCTAATATATATCTTCTACAAAGATATAAGAAAATCTAAGATATATATCTTCTAACAAAGATATAAACAATCTAAAAGATATTCCTAAATATAAACTAATATCTAATTAAATCTAAATTAATTCTAACACCATCCCTTAATTTATATTTACCCAAAACTGACAACAACAATTCCATCTCTTAAACCAAGAAATTGATCAGTTTTGATAGCCTTTGTCAGAACATCTTCCAGTTGCTTCTGAGTGCTACAATGCACAACTTCTATTATTCCATTCTGAACTTGATTCCTCAGAAAATGATACTTGGTCTCAATATGCTTGCTTCTCCCATGCAACACTGGATTCTTGGCAAGATTTATTGCAGACTTGTTATCAATCATCAACTTCAGAGGTTTATTCACCTCAATCTTCAGATCTTTCAGCAAGTTCAGAATCCACACAGCTTGACATGCAGTCAGAGCACCTGCAATATATTCAGCTTCACAGGTTGACAGAGCAACGGCTGGTTACTTCTTGGAACACCAAGAAATAGGACCTCCCAAAAATTTGAATAAGTATCCAGAAGTACTTCTTCTGTCAACTCTATCTCCGCACCAATCATAATCAGAATAACTCAAAAGTTCTGATTCGATCTTTCTTCCAGACGGAAATAACACTCCATATTTCAGAGTTCCCTTCACATACCTCAGAATCCTGACTGCAGCTTGGTAATGTGACCACTTTGGTTTGCTCATAAATCTTCTAACCATTCCAACTGCATAGCAAATATCAGGTCTGGTATTACACAAATACCTTAGAGAACCAACCATCTGTTTGAAGGTTGTAGCATCCACGTCCTCTCCATCAGAATCAAAATCCAACTTCTGATTCGTATCAGCAGGTGCGATAGCAACCTTGCAATTTTCTAGCTCAAATCTCTTCAGAAGCTCTAGTTCATACTTCATCTGATGTAAAATTATTCCCTTCTCAGAGTATATAAATTCCATCCCTAGTAAGAAACTCATTTTTTCAAGATCTGTCATCTCAAACGCATTCATCAGAACTTTCTTGAACTCAGCTATCTGTCCAGAACTTCCTGTGAGTAATATGTCATCAACATACAAACATACCAGAATCATATTACCTTCTGAAGTGTGCTTAACATAAATACCATACTCCATCTCACACTTTTGAAACCCTTGTTCCTTGAAAAACGAATCAATTTTCAAGTTCCAAGCTCTGGGCGCTTGCTTCAATCCATACAATGCTTTGTGTAATTTGAACACCATCCCTTCCTGATTCTTTTTCTTAAATACAGGAGGTTGTGAAACGTACACCTCTTCTTGTAATGGACCATTCAGAAATGCAGATTTTACATCTAAATGCGTCAGAGGCTAATTCCTGTTAGCAGCTATTGTAATCACTAGTCTGATTGTTTCATGTCTCGCTACAAGTGCAAACACTTCAAATTAATCTAGCCCAGGCTTCTGTAGGAAGCCTCTTGCTACTAATCTCGCTTTGTGTTTGCCAATTGATCCATCTGGCTTTAGCTTCTGCTTGAAAACCCATTTGACGCTGATGGTTTTCTTGCCTTTTGGAAGTTCTGTCAGCTTCCAAGTCTTGTTTCTCTCTATAGTATCAAGTTCTTCTTTCATGGCCTGTAACCAAACTTGCTTCTTAAGAGCCTCTTCCGTACTCACGGGTTCAGAGTCTACTAACATTGCACACTGAACAACCTTTCCTTCAGAGTCTACTTCAGTGTCTTGCAACATGTCAAACTCTACAAATCTTCTTGGGATGCTTCTGACTCTTTGTTGCCTTTGAACTAGACCTTCATACCTTTGGACACCAGAACTTTCCCCTTCAGAAGCACTTGCTTCAGCAATTGGACTTTCTCCAGAACCTTGACTGTCTTTAGAGTCTGGATCACCATCAGAGTCAGAGTCAGAATCATCTTCTCCTTCTTTATCTTCTTCAGAGTCAGAGTCTTTACTAGCTTCAGAAACATGTATTTCTGACCTTTCTTCAGAAGTTCTGTCATCAGAGTCAGGACGAGATTTTTTCCAATTCCAAACTTCTGATTCCTCTACAATGACGTCTCTTCTGAACTCAACTTTTTTAGTTTCTGGACAATAAAGTTTGTACGAGCCTGTACTGTGATACCCCACCAGCAACATCACTTTACTTGTATCATCCAGCTTCTGTCTTCTGGCTTCTGGGACATGTTTGTAACATACAGAACCAAATACCTTCAGATGACTAACACTTTTCTTATCTCCAGTCCACTTCTGAATAGGAACTATTTCCTTTAATTTCTTTGTTGGACATCTGTTGATCACATAACATGCAGTTGCAACAGCTTCTCCCCACAGAGTATGAGAAAGCTTATTCTCTTTCAGCATGCTTCTCACCATATCTAGCAAAGTATGATTTATTCTTTCAGCAAGACCATTATGTTGAGGAGTATATGGAGCAGTAACCTCATGCTCAATTCCATTTTCCTCACAGAAAGTTCTGAATTCTATGGAGTTATACTCACCACCACCATCAGTTCTAAGAATTTTTAGAGTCTGGCCACTCTGATTCTCAGCCTTTAGTCTGAACTTTTTGAATTTAGCAAACACCTCGTGTTTGAATTTTATGAGAGATACCCATGTCATTCTGGTGAACTCATTAACAAATGACACAAAATATTTATTCCCTCCAGTCGATGCTACTGGAAACATACCACACACATCATAATGTACTACTCCCAAGACATGTTTTACTCTTGGAGCTACTTCTGATGCAAAAGGTAATCTTGGTTGCTTCCCTTCCATGCACACCTTGCATGACTTTTCAGGCTTCTTGATTGTAGAAATTCCATGTACCAGATTCTTTGATTTTAGATGCCCTAAACTTCTGAAATTCAGATGACCAAATCTTCTGTGCCATAGCTCACTCTCCTTGACAACACTTGTTGCACTAAGACATTCAGAGTCTGCAGTTCTAACATTCACCTTGAATATTTTGTTCCTTCCCTGTTTTGACTCCATAATCAGCTTCTGATTACAATCATACAGCTTTAAAAGATTGTCCTTCATGGTAACTGAAAAATCTTTCTCAACCAGTTGTCCCACACTCATCAGATTGCTTTTCATGCCAGGTACATACCAAACATTCTGGATCACAGCTGCTTTCCCATTATTTAGAATGATTCTGACATTTCCCATACCTTCTGCATTGAGGTATTTGTCATCAGCACATCTAATCTTTGTACTCTTCCCAGAGTCAAAGTCAACCAACCACTTCTTGTTTTCAGTAAGATGGTTTGAACACCCTGTGTCCATATACCACCATTCTGATGAATTCAGATCATCAGGTTCAAAAGCCAATAATAGCACAGGTTCTTCATCAGAGTCTCCTCTTGCTATATTTGCTTCTTCTGACTTCCTTTCTTTTTTGGACCAGCAATCTCTAGCATAGTGACCAAAGTTCTTACAACAGTAACACTGAACGTTCTTCTTGTCAGACTTCTCTTTTTCCTTCTGGACATTCTTCTGCCTATCAGAGTTTGAAGCTTCTGACTTTTGACCACCATTAGTTCTCTTCCTGGCTTCTGACCAGGTCTGCTTCTGATGCTTCTTACCAGAAGTCACTTTCAGAGTCTGCTGCTCTACTTTCCTCTCAGAAGTTCTTGCAGTCATACGCAACTCATGCGCCTCAAGACTACTTTGCAGCTCTTCAACTCTCATGGTGCTCAGATCTTTGGAATGTTCAATTGCTAGAACAATGTAATCAAACTGAGAAGTTAAAGATCTCAAGATCTTCTCAATAATTACTTGTTCAGATAGAGTTTCTCCACAAACTTTCATCTCATTAATGATCAGAATCACTCTAGAGATGTATTCAGAAACCTCCTCATTGTCCTTCATGTTGAGATTCTCATATTGCTTTCTGAGAGACTGAAGCTTCACCTTCTTCACCGATGCGTCACCACTGTAACATCTGACCAGTGTGTCCCCCACAACCTTTGCTGTTTCAGAATCAGCAATCTTCTCAAACACATTCATGTAGAACAACGCTTTCTGGTCTTTCTTCCTCAGCACCTTCTGTGCTATCTTCTGGTCCTCTGTTGCATCTGCTTCTAACAGATTATAGCCATCAGTAACAAGATCTAACACATCTTGAGAACCAAATAACACACGAATCTGGATCTTCCAACGATTCCAGTTTTTGCCATTAAATACTGGAAGCTTGGAATGAATATCGTTGTTTCCGTTCATCTTCTACCTTGTGCAATTTACGTAGAAACTCAATGAAAAAACAATGTTTCCCAAATTCCAGAGTTTCTAACCAGGAGCTCTAGATACCAATTGTTGGAGCACAAGGAAGATAAAAGGCAAAAGGAATATTTACTGATAGCTTCAAAATAAAGATTTACAATGAATTACAATAACCTACTCCACTAGGCTATTTATACACACAAATTAAATCTAATATATATCTTTTACAAAGATATAAGAAGATCTAAGATATATATCTTCTAACAAAGATATAAACAATCTAAAAGATATTCCTAAATATAAACTAATATCTAATTAAATCTAAATTAATTCTAACACTTATTCGTTCTATTAGTAACAAGAATGAACGTTTTTGTTGCAGATCAAAGATTTGAATTCATATGTTGCTTTGAGGAAATAGTAAGTGATAACATCTTAATACATATTTTATTTATATGGATTTAATCTTTGTTTTTTGATCATTTGTGTGAATATATCTACCAAAAACCCTGACGGTTGTATTGTTTTCAAATGTTTTCTAGCCAAAGAATGTGAATATTCTTTTTCTATCAAAGTCAAATTTAAACCATGTGCTAGAGAAAGTGTGGCTTGGCGAAAATGATAAATAGAAGAAGAAATGGTTTTCATAACCTCCAACAAACTAATGGTATAGTTGAGTTATTCTTCAATGGAATCAACCTTCCATTGACTCATTGGATAATCATTGTCCACTAAAAGTTTTGCAAGAGTTTTGATTATATTGTTGAATCTATAGCTAATGTCATGTTTTATTTCTTTAAAATTTGACATTTGTATGCAGAGGTTGTTCCTAAAAAATTATGGAATTGATTCATCTCTCTGAAGCCATTCGCCAAGTTGTCGCTCTCCTTGTCGATGAAGACGTTGAAGAATCCAGACCCACTTCCACTTTCCTCAATGTCATTGATCTCGGTAATGTTGTAAGTTCCTTTTATTTGATCCATGTTCATGTTATTGAAATATGCAATTGTTTTGAATCCAAGAAATGAATGACTGACTGTGATTGTGATGGTGAGAATCAGGGTGCTGGAAAATATGTTGCATTGAATAACCTCATTGGTCAGACATGGAACAATAATGGACCTTGCGGTTATTAATGAGTAATTTGATTTTATTTTTTGCAATTTAGATCTGTTAGTAGACTGCATTGTTATTTAGTTTTTAATAAGTAGTTAGTAATTAGTTTCCTACTTTCCTGCCAAGTAACATTAGTGGAATAGGTCAGTAATTAGTTTCCTACTTTCATGCCAGTAACGTTAGTGGAATAGGTATTGATTGTTAGTTCCACTCCTTATTATTAGCATTCAGTTTCTCAATTCTTTGCTGTATATATTCGTGTAATTGTTTACCACATCAACACAGAATCATCAATTCAAATCCCTTCTCTACATGGTATCCAGAGCTTTAGGTTGAATTAATTTTTTTTTTCAAACCACATTCACTCCCATGGCTGGCAATATCTCCCACCTACTGGCCCTAGCCAATTCATCATCTTCCCAGATCAATTTTCAACTTCCTCCAATCAAAATCACTCTTGACAATGAAAATCACTGCCTTTGGAGCACCACTATCATCTCTGCTCTTGAAACCTTTGATCTTGAGTCTCATTTACTGGCACCAAATCCACCGCCACAGACTCGCTCCATTGCTGCTGACAATGGAACAATCACCCAAGAACCCAACCCTGAATATCTCGCCTGGAAGCATCGCGATAGGTTGGTTCTGCTGTGGCTAAAATCAACTCTCTCCGACAGGGCGCTCTCCATCGTTGCTCGTAGCACCACCTCCCACATGGCCTGGACAGCACTCCAGAAAATTTTCCAGGCGCAGACTCGTGCTCGGCGGATGTCGCTGAAATTGCAATTACAATCCCTACCTAAGGGGTCTCTCTATCATGGAGTACGTCGAGCGAAAACGCTCAATTGCTGACTCCCTCGCTGCAAACCTGCACCCTGTTTCTGATGAGGACCTAATCGGTCACATCCTCTCTGGGCTAGATAGCTCTTACGGCGCCTTCGCCACTGCATTCATGATCCACAGTGATGATGCTTCTGTTGACGATCTGGTGGGCAAATTGCTTCAGGAGGAAGCACGAATCGCTCACGAACTGGCTCGCCAATCCACCATCGCTCCCTTGGCTCCTTCATCTCTAGCACCAATCTCTTCTGCCCACGTCGCCAGTCGGCAATCTGGCCGGTCATACAATACCAACAATTCTGGTGGCGCCTATTCTCGCGGGGATTCCAAGAGCAACTCTAGAGGCGACACTCGTGCAGCAAACAGTGGTGAGTTCTGCCGTCGTTGCCCCCAGTGCCAATTATGTGGGCGTCCAGGTCACGAGGCCGTTGATTGTTGGCAGCGTGATAATCAGATTGATTTTCCCTCGCGCAAGCCCAACCCACGCAATACATCAAAGCAGGCTCATTATGCGTCTCAGGCTCCGTCTTCAAGTGCCATCGATCCTTCTTGGTATTTCGACACCGGTGCCACTGATCATGCTTCTCCAGATTTTCAGAAGCTGACCATCTCTGATGACTACAAAGGCAACGGCAAGCTGCAAGTGAGCAATGGTAACCTTTTATCTATTTCTCACATTGACAATTCTACTTTACATAATTTGCGCTTGCCTAATGTTCTCATTGTTCCTAAACTCACAAAAAGCCTTCTCAGTGTATCCAAATTTACAAAGGATAATAAGGTTTATATAGAATTTTGGCCTTCTCATTGTCTTGTCAAAACCTTTCAGGGTCAAACTATACTCCGAGGGGGCATTAACAACGACCTCTACTGCATTAACTCCATTCACAATAAAGCTCGACCAACCCTGGCTCTCACCGGCATCCGTACGTCTGTCCACGGCTGGCACCAGCGGCTTGCCCATCCTCATGAACCTCTATTGCGTCGTCTTATTTCTTCATTTAATTTACCAATTTCTTCAAATAAATTTCCCAATGTCTGTGACTCTTGTCAACTTGGAAAGAGCCATCGATTTCCTTTAGCATCATCTCATATTGCGTCGTCTACTCCTTTTGAATTGATTTACTCTGATGTATGGGGTCCATCTCCCAAATTTTCAATCAATGGAAATCGGTATTTCATTTTGTTTATTGATGATTGCACCAAATATGGGTGGATTTATTTTCTATCGCACAAATCACAGGTTTTCACTACTTTTGTGCAATTTCGTACTATGATTGAAACACAATTCAATGCAAAAATCAAACATCTTCAATCCGATTGGGGGGGTGAATTTCGCAATGTCTCTATTTTTTTAAAACAACACGGTATTTCTCACCGTATTACATGTCCATACACACAAGAGCAAAACGGGACGGTTGAACGACGCAATCGTATCATCATTGAAAAAGGCCTCACTCTTTTGGCTCAATCATCTTTACCTCACGAATTTTGGGAACATGCTTTCAAAACTGCAACTTATCTCCACAATAGAACCATTACCCCCACCTTACACTACCATTCTCCATATCAACAATTATATCACAAAGATCCAAATTATGGTTTTCTCAAAACCTTTGGATGTCTTTGCTATCCTTTTCTTCGTCCATATAACAACCACAAAATTGATTTTTGTTCTCTTCCATGTGTGTTTATTGGTTACAGTACTTCTCACAAAGGATATCTCTGTTTTCATAAACCTACTGAGCGTATATATGTTGCAAGGCATGTTGTTTTTAATGAGCATATATTCCCATATTCTGTTTCTTTACATAATTCGGCGTCTAACTTATCTACTCTTGCTTCTCCAGAATTAAATTCCGATTTGTTAGAGCAAGCTGCTGGGCTGCCCACACCTTCAGCCACGTTCCAAACTGCACCTACAATTCAGCCAACAATTCAGCCATCACTCACAATTCATCCCACTTCTCCGCCGGCCCCACAACAACATCAACAACATGTTCCTTCATACTACAGACCAGCCCAATCTTCCACTCACCCCATGACCACACGAGCCCAAACTGGCTCTCTCAAACCAAAAATCCTAGCTGCCACTCTTAAACTTGAACCTGATCCTCGTACATACAAACAAGCCGTCAAACATAAACATTGGCAAGATGCCATGACTGTAGAATATAATGCCCTTGTGAAAAATGGTACTTGGTCTCTTGTCCCTTGTCCTACTAATGCTAATGTTGTGGGTTGTAAGTGGATTTACAGGACAAAGCGCAAATCCGACGGGAGTATCGAGCGTCACAAAGCTCGTTTGGTGGCACAAGGTTTTAGTCAGCAAGCAGGTAAAGACTTCTTTGAGACGTTCAGCCCAGTGGTTAAGTCAAAAACCATTCGACTTGTCTTGTCCATTGCCTTATCCAACCAATGGTGTCTTCGGCAATTGGACATCAACAATGCATTCTTGAATGGTGAGCTCTCCGAGGTTGTCTATATGCGTCAACCAAAGGGTTTTGAGGATTCTCATCAACCTGATCATGTCTGTCAATTGCGGAAGGCTCTTTACGGGCTCAAACAAGCACCCAGGGCTTGGTTTACCAAGCTTAAGCATTACCTTATCACACAGGGCTTTCGGGCTTGTCAATCCGACACATCCTTGTTTGTTCATCATTCTGCTGCTGCAACAATCTACATCCTTGTATATGTAGACAATCTGCTCATTACCGGCACGGATTCAGGTTTGATTAATAACTTTATCATTAATCTTAACAAGGTGTTTGCTTTAAAGAATCAGGGAGACTTGCATTATTTCCTCGGTCTTCAAATCACACGTACTAATTCTGGGGTACAACTCACTCAAGAAGGTTATGTTAGAGATCTTCTGGAGTCCACCAACATGTCTGTTGCTGCTCCTATAACAACACCAGCTGACCCACGGCATCGTCTAGTCAAGGCGGGTGAACCATTTGATGATCCAGCCTTATACAGACGCACTGTCAGTTCTCTCCAGTATGCTACAATCACCCGGCCTGATATTACGTATGCGGTGAATCGCGTTTGTCAATTTATGCATTCCCCGACACTTGATCACTGGCGTGCTGTCAAAAGAATACTTCGCTATCTTGCTGGTACTCTGTCACACTCTCTCCACTTCAGTCCAACTCAAGCAACTTCTTTTTTAGCATATTCAGACGCGGGTTGGATCTCGGATTCGGACGACAGCCGCTCTCAGTTTGGATATGCAATCTTCCATGGATCTAATCTCATCAGCTGGACTTCTCGCAAACAGAAGGTTGTTGCTCGCTCAAGCACTGAGGCGGAATATCGATCCCTGGCATACACCGCCGCCGAACTGCTTTGGCTCAATCTTCTTGCTTCTGAGCTTCATGTGCCTATTACTGGTCCTCCGTTGCTTCTCTGTGACAATGTTGGTGCAATTTTCTTGTCCAAGAACCCAGTTATCAGCACACGGTCCAAGCATATTGCGCTAGATTTTCACTTCCTTCGTGACCAGGTTGATTCCGGTACTCTCAAAATTGGCCACGTATCATCCGTTGATCAGCTAGCCGATATATTCACCAAACCACTTTCCAAAGATAGAGTTTCTTTTCTTCGTTCCAAGCTTCGCGTTCTTCCGAATCATCAGCTTGCTGGGGGGTAATAAGTAGTTAGTAATTAGTTTCCTACTTTCCTGCCAAGTAACATTAGTGGAATAGGTCAGTAATTAGTTTCCTACTTTCATGCCAGTAACATTAGTGGAATAGGTATTGATTGTTAGTTCCACTCCTTATTATTAGCATTCAGTTTCTCAATTCTTTGCTGTATATATTCGTGTAATTGTTTAATACATCAACACAGAATCATCAATTCAAATCCCTTCTCTACAGTTTTGATAAAAGAATGTTTTCTCTGATGATTACGGTGATGTTTGCAAATGATAGTAAAAATTATGTTATAATGGTTGTGATTACCTAATTAAATTGTTTCATAAGAAGGCTTTTACGAACATATGGCAACTCGTGGTTCGGGAGAAAAATAATTACTGGAAATATTTAAAAATATGGCAACTGCGTCTACCGTACTGCTTGCTTGATTCTTCGTTTAGCGTAAATATTCTACTTGGGCAAGTATTTGATTAAATAGATAATAATTTACCTCTTATGTAAAATAATTCTTAATTGGTAATAAACATGTACAATTCAATGAATTTATGAAGTTTATTCTTTGTTCTGTTGCAGAC